ATGAATCCACCAATGAAGATAAGAATAATGAGTAAGAATCCACCAATGAAGAAAAGAACACTGAACACGAATCCACCAATGAAGATAAGAATACTGAAAACGAATCCACCAATGAAGATAGGAATAATGAACACAAATTCACCAATGAAGATAAGAATACTGAAAACGAATCCACCAATGAAATATGAATACTGAATACGAATTCACCAATGAGGAAAACCATGTTTACGGAGAGTTAATTTATGGTATGCCAAACTTGGGATAAAATGGATCGCGATATGAAATAATGTATATTTTATGTCAATCAAATGTATACTAATATCAGCGCTTTTTCATTAATCATAAATTGCGAAAATTGTCATTTCGCACAAGTAACAACATCGGATGAAACTAACCACATTTTGCTAAGCTGAAACAGACCCTGGGATTATTTCATTCACTTATTTCCTTGCAGCTCTCCTGGGCAATGCATATCCGTTCATGTATACTCCGGTATCCATGCCAAGATTGCAATATTACAATATCACATTTCTTCAAATGCAATGATGACGTGCTCGAAAGGAATAAAAAAAAATATTCTGCTGAAATATTCGAATGAAATAATTGCACATTCGAATCAAATGTAGAAATATACAAATGGAATAAAGAAATTAAATTGTGTAATATTGTAATTTTGGCATGGATCACTTGAGCGCGCCATAGTATACGTCTGGTAGTTTACAATTATGTGCTATACTCAAACTGAAACAATGTCACTAATGTCCACCACGGCGTGAGGTGGTCAGCAACACTACAAGTTGGTCTTATTTGGACGTAGAATGTCATGTTCTAAGTGGATGTTAAAACACATATTGACAAATATGAATTTATTTCAAATATGAAAATCTGCATGAAAATCACAGTACAGAGAATTCCTTGAGGATCACATTTGTCGTCAAAAAAAGTAAACCCCTCTTTTTTAATTAATCCTACATTTATTTAGTACGAAAACATTGGTTTCAGAAATCCAGAAAAACATGAAAATAATGCAAAGATCCATTGATTAGCGCTGCATATTATACTGTGTG